GAAGGGGCTGCTAAGGGGCCGCGAAGGGGCCGTGAAGGGGCCGCGAAGGGGCCGCGAAGGGGCCGCTAAGGGGCCACGAAGGGGCCGCTAAGGGGCCGAGACGGGCCTCAGGAGCAGGGCAGGCCACTAAGGGGCCGCGAAAGGGTAGGGCAGGTCAGAGCGCGAGGCGCGCTTCGGGCAGGTTAGGAAAAAAAAAAAAATTAATGGTGGGCCCTTAGGAAGAAACGGTCCCACTAGGGAACCTGCTCTATACCATGTGAAAATAACGAGGAATGAATGCACTAGGAAACAGGTGGGTACAAGTAGGAAAAGCTAAAAGTGTTGTACCCCATATTGTCAACCCCACTACAGCCTACACAGACTATAGCATATAAGTTTGACAGACTCCACAAGCTAAAAATAACTACTCACTTGGTTCACAAGTGATGTTAAGTGTTGCCTAGTTTATGTTTTTGGTACTGAGTTAATCGCTTCCGCATAGTACTTAGAGTTAACATTTTTTATCAAGAGAAAACTTGCTTAAAATGACGAACAGATGTCGAGACAGCACCGCGTGTCGCACTGGCCTATCCTTGCACGGTTTTCCGTGCTCAGTTGTTTGAAACGCCATATCTTCCTATCAGATGCTACGAATGACACCAGATCTGTCAAGCATCCTTACAATATAGTAAACGAATGTTTTATCAAGAGAAACCTTATTTAAAATGAGAAACAGATGTTGAGACAGCACCGCGTGTCGCACTGGCCTATCATTGCACAGTTTTCCGTGCTCAGCTGTTTGAAACACAATATCTTCCTACCAGATGCTGCAAATGACACCAAATATATCAAGCATCCTTAAAAAATAGTAAATGAATGTTTCATCAAGAGAAACTTTGTTTAAAATGACAAATAGATGTCCAGACGACACCGTGTGTTGCACAGGCCTATCCTTGCACAGTTTTTCATGCTCAGTTGTTTGAAACACCATATGTTTATACCAAATGCTGCGAATGGCACCAAATCTGTCAAGCATCCTTACAATATAGTACACGAATGTTTGATCCAGAGAAAACTTGTTTAAAATGACGAACAGATGTCGAGACAGCACCGCGTGTCGCACAGGCATATCCTTGCACAGTTTTTCCTGCTCAGTTGCTCGAAACACCACATCTTTCTACCAGATGCTGCGAATGGCACCAAATCTGTCAAGCATCCCTACAATATAAGAAATGAATGTTTGATGAAGAGAAACCTTGTTTAAAATAACAAACAGATGTCGAAACAGCACCGCGTGTCGCAAAGGACTATCCTTGCACAGTTTTCACTGCTCAGTTGTTTGAAACACCATACTTCTTACCAGATGCTGCAATGGCACCAAATCTGTCCGATATTACTGCAATATAGTTGGATGAATGGATGATCAAGAAAAACTTTGTTCAAAATGACAAACAAACGTCGATACGACACCGCGAATCACACAACCTATCATTGCACATATATCCACGCTCAATTTCTGGAACACCATCTTTCCTGCCAGATGCTCCGAATAATTGGATAAAATACGCATGCTGCTTCTTTAACTGATCAAGAGTTACCCGACAAATCCAAATGATAATATATTGAAGAACTAGGAGTAAGCGATTGATTTCCACTAGGAACTTGGGGTTGTGCGACAATGTTGATTTGATTTCGAAGAAACATCAACAATTGACTGTTGGGTGCAAAGTGTATTTTGCACGTCAACCTGTCGCCTATTCGTCGAGCAAGGTGAAATTTGAAGACCTGTGTTTTGAGGTAATTTCTGTTGTGTGGAATACGCATTGGTGTGCTTTTCATTTTGGCGTTTACGGTTTGTGAATCGCTCATGAGTTATGCGCATTTAAGTGTGAGGTTGCATTCATGATTTTTCATGATTGTTCGTGTGCGTTTCGTGTGTTCGTGGCGTTTCACGAATGTGTGTGAAGTTCCGAGGGTACATGAGTGTTCATGGACCTTCGCGTCTTGTTCATGAGAGTTCGCGTGCTGTTCGTGTTCGTTCATGAGCGTTCATGAATGTTCATGGTGAGTTTCTGGTGTGCTGGGTGTGGGGCTCGAGATTTTGACCAGCCCCTTTTGACTAAGTCTTGCGCTGGTCAAGGCTCGAGGCCATAAGCCCGAGCCTTGTTGTGCAATCATGGGAGCAAGGGCTGTCAGAGGTCCACTGGTGATCCCCGATTGATCCTAGGGAAGGGTTACAGGCATGTTCGCCTGGGGGGTTATGGGCGCACTGACCCGCTACTTAACAAGCCCTTTTATCCCAATGGTCTAGTGGTTGGGATTCTGACATGGTATCAGAGCGAAGGTCTCGGGTTCGAATCCCGGTGTATGCACTTCGGGCATCCCAGTGCGGGGGGGTGTCAGAGGTCCACTGGTGATCCCCGATTGATCCTAGGGAAGGGTTACAGGCATGTTCGCCTGGGGGGTTATGGGCGCACTGACCCGCTACTTAACAAGCCATTTTATCCCAATGGTCTAGTGGTTGGGATTCTGACAAGGGCCGAAGGGTGCCAGTCGAGGCACACGCGCGGCCTGAGGCCGCAATTCAATTCGGAGCCACACGCGCGAGTGTGGCAGTGAGGTGGTGCGAGGGAAAAGACGAGCGCGCGTGGGTACAGGTTGGATTTCGGGGGTGCCATGTGGGGCCAGCGAGATTTCGCTTGACCCACGAGTTGTTTGTCCTGATCCTCCGAGGTGGGAATTTCGCCATGGTGTTTCGCGAGGTGCGCGATTTACTTTCGACGCTGGTGCGAATCGAGCGAGGTGGATTTCGACGACTTCGTAATTTTGTCGCGTAACTGAGCGAATCGCTCAGGAGTTTTCATGAACTGTCACGTATGGTCATGAGCTGTCATGATCGCAAATGACCACGAGCGTACATGGAATTCCGTGAGCAAGTATGGGCTACACAATTATGCGTGGGCGAGTATGTTGCCACTGATTTCGCGTGGAGACAGTTGGCATTTCGGAGTATGGTGCTAGCTATTATTTCGGTGGGCTGGTTGCTTTCGCTTTTGGTGGGTTAGTAATAACTAGTGCTTGTGTTTGTTTGTCACCAATTGTTGTGAATCCTTTTATGAATGAATTTTGCTATATCGACGTATTGACGAGAGGAGCTTTTCTGCACACGCACCTATCGTTCGTCAATGCTGCGCAATTGAGCTTGGGAATGCTCTTAGTGCACACGACTGTTTTCACACTTGTGAAAATCCCTCGACAAACACGGACCCTTGGTTAGGGGCTGGCTTTGCCAGGCACCCGAGGACCCTTGGAGGTGACCTCGTGGGGACTACCTAGTGTATTAAAGGTGTGCCAATAGTGGAGAACCAGTGGTATCAGAGCTGAGGATTGGACGTGTTGCCATTAGAACACAATGGCGCCCGGCGACAATGAAGGTTCTACTGCACGAGCAAATAGTGGAGTCTAAGATACGGGTGGTTCTGCGCCAAGGGGAGTGCGTGCCAGCCCGGGCTCACTATGGAAGGATGTGTTGAAGAACTTCGTCGTCGACAAGTTCAACGGCAGCAATTACGACGATTGGGCGTGGAAAATGCAGCTGCATTTTCGGCAAGTGGGCTTGTTGAAGCTGATGACGGGCATGGAGAAGAGGCCGGACGACCCGAACCTGCAAGAGGAGTGGGACGAGCGTGCAACGGCCGGCTACTACCTTCTTTCACAGAGTTTGGAACTGAACCAGCGGTCATACATGATGCATCTGCTGAAAGAAGCTGACTGTGGGTCACGAGCTTGGAAGGTGCTAAAGAAGTTGCACTCGCCAACCTCGTTGGTTGCAACTTTGATATTGGAGCGTGAGTTGGCGACATTGCGCCTGAGTGAGGGGGAGCCAATTCAACCGGCTCTCGATAAAATGCAGGATTTGTACGCAAAGCTGCAGATCGCGGGCATCACCTACCCGAAGCAAACGAAGTGCTTGCGGATGCTTTCATTGCTACCCGAGTCTTGGCTGCAGTTCACGAGTGGCATAAGTCTTCCTCAAAACCATGGTTCGTGGACACTCGAGTGGGTGCGAGCCAAGATCTTGGAGGAAGACTTCAGGAGGAGGCAGCTGAGCCACGACCACGATGGTGACGGCGGGTACGCAGTGCAAGGCAGCAGATGGCGTAAGGGGAAAAGTTGGGGTGAAGGTGAACGGGGGCGATATGGAAGCAGGCGAGAAGATAAGAAGCCGAGCAGCAAGCGTGATGACAAAGAAGAAGCTGATGACGACAATGATGATGGTGGCTACTACAGATTTAAGGGAACTTGCTGGTACTGCAAGAAACCGCGTCACACTTGGGCGAAGTGCTGGAAGTGGCCTAAGGGGTGGACTCACGGGAATGAGGACAATGATAAAGAGGAGAACCAGCACCGTGGCATTGGTTATGTTGCAGGGGCCACAAGGGAAGGGGGAGACGATTGGGAGCGGGCTCTGGGGCAGATTTTCCATGTGCAAGGGAACGAGGGGAGTGAGAAAGCAGCTGCAAAGGAGGGAGCAGTGCCTCACCCTCTTAACACGTGGATCCTTGACTCCGGAGCGGCTCATCACATGACCCCGAGGGCGGACCTGCTAGACAAGATCGGTGCAACGAGCATCATTGAAATGAATTCCGGATGTGGGCACAAGATGAAGGTGTTGGGAGTGGGCAAGGCAGCCTTCAAGGGAGCTGACGGAAAGCCGATTATCCTGGAGGACGTGTTTCTGGTGCCTGAGCTGAAGGGAAACTTGATTTCCCTGCGGAAGAATGGGGCTTGCAGGTATTAGCACGGAAACAGAGGGAGCTGAAACGTTCAAGGGACGTCTCGGTGGACGGACGTTGTGGGACCTGCATGAGGACAAGGACCTGTGTGACGAGTTGTGGCATGTACCAGTGGTGCCATGGAGTGAGGTGTCACCTGAACATGACAATGGGGTTTGCGGCTGCAAGGGAAAATGTGCTGCAGAGGCTGCTGAAACAATCAAGGAGCTGAAAGCTACCGTAGAGATGTTGGTGCAGGAGCTGTACCAAGTAAAGGATCGACTTGCAGCAGCTAAAAATAGAAATAATCCCGGTGCTGATGAGAAGACTGGTGTTAAGGCCAAGGGGAGTGAAGGCAAGGGTGCTACTGTGACTAAGGAGAAGGGAGTGCTGAAGAGTGTCACTCGTGAGCAGAGGAAATGTGAAATCAAAGTGCAGCTGAAGGATGCACCTGTTAAAGAGAAGCCGTCGGTGCTGAAAGCGGCAAGCATTGCAGCTGATGCAACTAAGGAGACTGAAGAACCTAAGGTGAAGCTAAGTCAAGAGGAAGCGGATACAACCTTGGGTGGTAGCGGTATTACTTCGATGAAGCTGCAAGTAGCTGATGTCATGAAAACCGAAAGTGTGGGGGAGCATAAATCAGCCTTCCCTAAATCTGGAGTTGGGATCGGTAATGTAGCGGAGCCGTTCTACAGTGAGAAGTAGATTGAGGGAGTTGAATAGTCGTCAGGTTGAGGGAGGGTTTGTTGGGTGCAAAGCGTATTTTGCACGTCAACCTGTCGCCTATTCGTCGAGCAAGGTGAAATTTGAAGACCTGTGTTTTGAGGTAATTTCTGTTATGTGGAATGCGCATTGGTGTGCTTTTCATTTTGGCGTCTACGGTTTGTGAATTGCCTTAGCGGTTCATGAGTTATGTGCATTTAAGTGTGAGGTTGCATTCATGAGTTTGCTTGTGTCATCTCATGTGTCATGTGCGGCGTGCCATGTCCCATGCTTTGTGAAATGCCATATGCCATGCCATGGGCTATGACGTCTTGTGCTTCAACATGCTAAGTATTGCAAGTGTCATGCTGATGTGCGCCAGTACTTGATGACAGAGTCACACCAGACTTGCACTGCTTTTGCCAATCAAGTGAGTGCTGTTGTGAATCATGTGCCTCTCCCTTCGTCTTTTCCCTCTCACACGTTCCTCCCTCCCCGCTCTCCACTCTCTTAGACACGTGTGTGCTGAAGAAGTGTGGCATCAGCAGCACGTGCTCCAAGGACAGTGCTGGAGTGGTGTCTTGCGTTTGCAACGATGGTTTTTCTCTGCAGCCCGACGGTTTCACATGCACTGGTGCGTGCTGAATCCAGCGTGCACTGATGCGTGCTGCTGTATGCTGTCCAACAAGCAAGGTAGATTGCATGTCTTCATGACCTCTTTCTAGGATGCGCAGCGCTGTGTCGTGTAACACAACGTGTGCAAGGGTGTGTGTGTTGTATTTTTTTAATTAGTTGTTTGCAGCACTTGCATGGTACGCATCAGTTTCCCGATCAGTCATTTACTCGTTTCACTGTTGCTCCCACTAGCTTCCTATTTACTCGTTTCCTCTGCTCACCCCTCCCTGCCTTGACCTCTTTCCCCCAAACCTCCCCATACTCCTTGTGTGCACGTCTCTACTCACACGCCTCTTCCTTACTCTGCTTCTTCAAGTCCCTTCTACACCATCCTCGCCCATTTCATCGACTCCTCACTCCCCTTCCCCTTTTCTCCCCCCACCCAGACAACTGTGTGATCCAGAGCTGTGGTGTGAACGGCCGGTGCATCAAGGACGAAACTACTGGAGCGTCGTCCTGTGTGTGTGACACTGGCTATGTGCTGCAGGCGGATGGCAAGACGTGCGCTGGTATGTGATGAAACTGTTGTGTGCTACTCTGTGTGATTCCGTGTGCTACTCTGTGTGGTGTTGTGACGGCTCCTAGATTCATGTCCCCTCCACCCCTCCTCTCCGCTCTTTTCTGCCTCTCCCCCCACCTAGATGTTTGTGTGGTCAAGAACTGTGGTGTAAACAGCCAATGCTTTCGTGGTAGCAACGGGGCAATCTGTAGCTGTAACACTGGCTATGTGCTGCATCCGGATGGCAGGACGTGCACTGGTATGTGATGAAACTGTTGTGTGCTACTCAGACACCTGCGAGATTTAGAGCTTTGGCGTTCCATGCCATGTGTCGTGCCATATGCCATGCCTTGTGAGAAGCCGTATTGTGCTTCAACGTGCTAATTATTCCAACTGCCATGCTGATGCGCGCCTGTACTTGGTGGCAGAGACACACCAGTCCTGACTGCTTTTGCTCTGAAGTGAGTGCTGGTGTGAATCACGTGCTATGAATCATCCCATTTTCATACTCTTTTTATTGCTTCTCTCCACGCCTCCTATCAGATACGTGCGTCGTCATGAATTGTGGCAGCGATGCTGATTGTGTGAAGGATGCTCAAGGCGCTGCATCCTGTGTTTGCAAAACGGGCTTCCAGATGGTGGACGACGTTTGCATTGGTATGCATCATCTTTCCCAATAGATGTTTCCCATCTCTCCTTCCTCCCTCCATCCCTCCTCTCTCCTTTCTTCGCCCTTTCCCTCCGTATTTAATCTCAGTTTCACCTTGAAAATCGTTGCTTATCTCTTCCTCGCTTGGCCTCATTTCCTCCAACCCTTCCCACACTCCTTTTGTGCACGTCTGTACTCACACTCCTCTTCATTACACTCTACTCGCTCACGTCCCTCCCTTCTACACCATCCTTGCCCATTTCCTCCACTCCTCCCCCATCGCCCCCCCTCCCCCATGCCCCCCCCCATATCTTCTTTTTCGTCTTCTTCTTCTTCGTCTTCTTCTTCGGCTTCTTCTTCATCTTCTTCTTCGTCTTCTTCTTCTTCGTCTTCTTCTTCGTCTTCTTCTTCATCTTCTTCGTCTTCTTCTTCTTCGTCTTCTTCTTATTTAAACCACCCCTGCCCCTTGTTCACTTCGACCTCGGTTTGGTGTGGTACAGTATCATTGTTCTTCATCTGCCACCCTTGGTCCCACTATTTGTGTCTTGGTCCGCCCCGTTCTTTCACCCCAACTCCTTCACAGCTACGTGCAATCTGTGTCATCCTACATTTACGTCCTGCGCGTTCTTGCCGGGCACAAACACTCTGGCTTGTCATTGCAAACCCGGCATTGGGCAGTCCATAATTAGGCAGCTCAATTGTGTTGGTGAGTTTCACACGCTTTCGAAGTTTGCTTGTTGAAAAATCAATTCGAATTGACCCACAGTTTGCTTGCTTTGTCTCTCTCCCTCTCTCTCCCTCTCCCCCTCTCCCCCTCTCCCCCTCTCCCCCTCTCCCCCTCTCCCTCTCTACCCCTCTCCCCCTCTACCCCCCTGCCCCTCCCCCTCTATCCCTCTCTCCCTCTATCCCCCTCCCCCTCCCTCTCCCTCTCTCCTCCCTCTCCCTCTCTCCTCCCTCTCTTTCTCCCTCTCTCCTCCCTCACTTTCTCCTCCCACTGACACCCAATGTTCTGTCCATTTCAACCTTTCACGTTCCAACAATGGTCTAGTGGCACACTTACATTGCATCCTCAATACTTTGCATGGTGAGTGCCAGCTTGGGGTTAATCCGGAGCTTGCTCTGACCCTTTAATAGATTGTCTGAGCATCAATTCGTCTCCTGATTCCAAGCGTAGTATGTTCCCCTTTTAACTTACCTCGTTTTGACTTCATTGTTTTTGTGTGATTTCATTCTAACAGTTGTGTGAAACTTATTTCTGCGATGAAGGGGATAAGATTTAGCATGACAGTGAATCCGCGTTTCTCTCACCCTATCTGTGAAAGAACGAGGAAAAGTGTGTGCACTAGGAAACAGGTGGGTACAAGTAGAAAAACCTAAAAGTGTTTTACCCCATATTATCTACCCCACTACAGCCTACACAGACTATAGCATATAAGTTTGACACACCCCCATAGGCAAAGTGGGGGAGAACAAGAGGTCACAAGACCAGTCAAGCAAAGCACAGTAAGCTCAGGGTGGATCACAACGTCACCACACATTCCGAGCACAAGTTCAAGGCCACAAGGCCAGTTTACATACAAGATTATATATAAAGTTAAACAAGCAAGTGCAGGTATAGATAGATCACAGTCCAAGCAAGGTCAAGAAGTGAGCAAGTGAGGCCAAGTAGGCACAAGACCTAGCATCGTACAAAAGCGCTGATGATCACAAGGCGGAAGTGCCTTGGTAAAGATATCAGCAGTGTTGGCATGAGAGGCTACGTAAGCAAGGCGCAGCTGACCACGCTGCTGCAGCTCACGAGCAAGGAAGTAGCGAAGAGCAATGTGCTTCGTTCTGTGCTCCAGTCTGTGCTCCCGACACAAGGCCAGCATGGCCTTGTTGTCTACGTACAGAACTGGAGGAGAACGAAGCTGCTCTCTTAGGTCAGTCAGGAAGTAGGTGAGCCAGTGTAGCTCCTGTGCAGCCATGGCCCCCGCGTAGATCTCAGCCTCACAGCTGGAGCCGAGAACAGAGGACGAGCGGGTAGACCGCCACGAAAGAGAGCCAGAACCAAGGCTGAAGGTGTAACCCTGTGACGACCGCTGCGTAGCCTGGTCGTCAGCCCAAGAAGCGTCTGCGTGACCTGTGAGGACTACTGAACGCCGCCCTCCAAGCACTAGCCCCATGCCCGACGTACTGCACAAGTAGCGCAACACCCTCTGCCTCCTCTCCCACCCTCCCCTGCCCCTCCCTGCCTTCCCTGTGTCGAGGGGCGGCAGCGCGCCGCTCCTCACTCCTCCTCGTTCCCCCCGACAACTGCTCCCCTACAGACCCTGCACATGGACGTGTGGGGCCCAGCCCGCGTCAGTGGACAGGACCGCGAGCGGTACTTCTTGCTGGTTGTTCACGACTACTCGCGTTACACCACGGTCTTCCCCTTGCGTACCAAGAGTGAGGTCCCTGATGTTTTGATCCCTTGGATCCGCGCTGCCCGTCTCCAGCTCCGCGAGCGGTTCGGGACGGAGTTTCCCGTCCTGCGTCTGCACTCTGACAGAGGTGGAGAGTTTTCCTCCCACCTTCTGCAGAGCTTTTGTCGTGGGGAGGGCATTCACCAGACGTTCATGCTTCCGGCCTCTCTGCAGCAAAATGGGGTTGCTGAGCGCCGCATTGGCTTGGTCATGGAGGTCGCTCGTACCTCCATGGTCCATGCGGTTGCCCCCCATTTTCTATGGCCGTTTGCAGTCCGCTACACTGCGCATCAGCTCAACCTCTTGCCCCGTGTCTCCTTGCCGGAGACCTCGCCCACACTGCGGTGGACGGGGAAGGTTGGCAATGCGTCGGTGTTCCGGGTCTGGGGCTCTCGTGCCTTTGTCCGCGATACCACCGTGGACAAGCTCTCCGCCCGCGTTGTTCCCTGTGTCTTCCTTGGCTTTGTCCCTGACGCGCCTGGCTGGCAGTTTTACCACCCCACCTCGCGCCGTGTCTTCCCCTCTCACGACGTCACGTTCGACGAGTCGGTTCCCTTTTACCGTCTCTTCCCCTACCGCACTGCCCCTCTCCCCCCCCCACCGCTCTTCCTCGCTCCAGGTCCTCCCCAGGTAGACCCCCTCCCCGTTCCCGGTCCTGCTCCTTCAGGTGTGTCTCAGGTAGACCCTTCTCCCTTGACTGAGCCGGTTGAGGTTACTGGTGACTCAGGTCCTGCTGAGGGTGGTCCTGCTCGGGGTGCTGCTCCTGGGGGTGCTGAGCCTTGGGGTACTGAGTCTGGGGGTGCTGCGCCTGGGGGCACTGAGGCGCCTGGTGAGCAGTCTCCTTGGAGCGGCCGCCTCTGTAGTCGCTCCGCTGGTGCCTCGCCGCAGCACTCTCGTCGGCGTGTCCCTCTCTCCACACAGCAGTTGCGTGAGTGGTACGTTAGCCGTCAGGGTCGCGCTGCTGGAGCTGGGGGCTCAGCTGCGGGAGGCGCTGGGGTTGGATGCACTGGAGCTGGCGCTGTCCCTCTCTCCCCACAGCAGCTGCGTGAGTGGTACGTTAGCCGTCAGGGTCGCGCTGCTGGAGCTAGGGGCCCTGCTGCGGGAGGCGCTGGAGCTGGTGACTCTGCTACTGGAGGTGTTTCCCCTAGAGCTCCTGGAGCTGCTGGCCCCGGAGGTGCTCGTACTGGAGGTACTGGAGCTGCTGGGGCTGGAGGTACGGCTGGACCTGGAAGTGCTGCTGTCGACACTGAGGCTGGAGACCCTGGGGCTGGAGGTGCCAGTTCTGGGGGTACTGCTGCTGGTGGCGCTGGTCCTGGAGGTGCTGGCGCTAGAGGTTTTGGAGCTGCTGGAGGTTCTGGAGCTAGTGGAGGTGCTGGCGCTAGAGGCGCTGGCGCTGGAGGTTCTGGAGCTGCTGGAGGTGCTGGTACTGGAGGTGCTGGCGCTGGAGGTTCTGGAACTGCTGGAGGTGCTGGCGCTAGAGGTTCTGGAGCTACTGGAGGTTCTGGAGCTGGTGGAGGTGCTGGCGCTGGAGGCGCTGGAGCTAGAGGTTCTGGAGCTGCTGGAGGTGCTGGAGCTACTGGTGCTGGTGGCCCTGCACAACCGCGACTGTTCTTCGCTCCGCCGTCACCTTCGTCTCTGCCGCCGCATGACTCCGTGCTTCGCCAAGTTCTTAGCCTCCCATCTTCTACTGGTCTTCCGTTACAGCCTGGCTCACCGCTGCTTGCTCCTTCTCCTTCCACTGAGCAGACTGGAGGTCTTACTGAGCGTTGTGCAGCTGCGCCTCGTCCTGTCTCACCTGTTCGCACTGTCTGCACTGGTCGTACTGGTCGTCGTGTTCCTCGTGAGCGTCCGCCGGCTGTCCCCGGCACGCACCTCATGGCCCTGCGTCCTTCCTCTGCTCCGCAGTGTGTTCCCTTGCCGTCCCCTCCTGCGTCTTCTCTGCCTGACGTTCCAAACCCTGAGTCTGACCGCGCTCGTGCTGCTCACCCTACTGTCACGCGTCTGCTTGCCACTGTTGTCACTGACCCTTTGTTTGAGTCCATAGCTGCGTCTGCCTTGATCGCTGAGCTTGTTGACTTTGCTGTTGCCTGTCGTCTAGACTACGCCGCTAGTCTTATTGCTGAGTCTGAGTCTATCTGTCCTCCGCCCGTCGGGGGTGAGTGTGCCCTTGGCACGGACGTTCTTGAGGACAGGCAGGAGGAGTTCCAGTGTTTTGCTGCTGCTTTACCTCATCGTGTGTCCATGCTGCTTGCCCTTGAGGGAGACCCAGATGCACCAGACATCCCGACCCCGCGCTCTTACGCAGAGGCGATAGAGGGTCCCTACTCCTCTCAGTGGCAGACAGCTATGGACGCAGGGATGGCTTCAGTCCACGGGCACTTACGTTGACGAGGTTCCCCCACCTGGGGCGAACATTGTCGATGGCATGTGGATTTTTAGGGTGAAGCGGCCGAGGGGTTCTCCGCCTGTCTTCAAGGCGCGTTACGTTGCTCGAGGCTTCAGTCAGCGACAGGGAGTTGACTACTTTCAGACCTTCTCCCCCACCCCGAAGATGACCACTCTTCGGGTGCTGCTGCACGTCGCCGCTCAGCGTAATTACGAGCTCCACTCTCTTGACTTTAGCACTGCTTTCCTATAGGGCAGCCTGCACGAGGAGATCTGGCTGCGCCGCCCACCTGGCTTCACTGGGTCGTTTCCTCCTGGTACCCAGTGGAGCCTCCGGCGGCCAGTCTACGGTCTCCGCCAGGCGCCCCGTAAGTGGCACGACACACTGAGGACTACGCTTGCGGCTCTTGAGTTTGCTCCTTCCACTGCTGACCCGTCGCTGTTTCTACGCACCGACACTACTCTGCCGCCGTTCTACATCCTCGTGTACATCGACGACTTGGTCTTTGCTACTGCTGACACTGCTGGACTGGCCCACGTGAAGTCGGAGCTGTAGAAGAGACACATGTGCACAGACTTGGGTGAGCTGCGCAGCCATCTTGGCTTGCAGATCACCCGGGACAGAGTACGGCGCACCATTACCTTGACTCAGTCACACATGGTGCAGCAGGTTCTTCAGCGCTTCAACTTAACGTACTCCTTGCCTCAGGCCACTCCTCTGTCTACTCGCCACTCGCTCTCAGCTCTCCCTTCGGATGAGTCCGTAGAGCCGAGTGGCCCGTACCCAGAGCTTGTGGGCTGCCTCATGTACCTGATGACCTGCACTCGACCTGACCTGGCATACCCTCTTAGCATCCTGGCACGCTATGTTGCTCCTGGGAGACACCGACCAAAGCACATGGATGCAGCTAAGAGGGTGTTGCGCTACCTATGCAGTACGTCGGGCATGGGGCTCGTGCTTGGAGGACGGGCTCGAGTTGTCCTCTCTGGTCACGCAAACGCTTCTTGGGTTGACGACTTGGCTACGCAGCGGTCGTCACAGGGTTACACCTACAGCCTTGGTTCCGGCTCTGTTTCGTGGCGGTCTACCCGCTCGTCTTCTGTTTTCGGCTCCAGTTGTGAGGCTGAGATCTACGCTGGGGCCATGGCTGCACAGGAGTTACGCTGGCTCACCTACCTGCTGACCGACTTGGGAGAGGTGCCTCGTTCTCCTCCGGTTCTGTACGTCGACAACAAGGCCATGCTGGCCTTGTGTCAGGAGCACAGACAGGAGCACAGAACGAAGCACATCGCTCTACGCTACTTCCTTGCTCGAGAGTTGTAGCAGCGTGGTCAGCTTCGTCTTGCTTACGTGGCCACTCGGGCCAACACTGCTGATATCTTTACCAAGGCACTTCAGCCTTGTGATCATCAGCGTTTCTGTACTCTGTTAGGTCTTGTGCCTACCTGGCCTCACTTGGTCACCTCTTGACTTAGCTTATACTGTGATCTATATATACATGCACTTGCATGCTTATATTTGTTAGGTTGAGATCACTGTACTGCTTGTTCACCTTGATATATAACTCTGCATGTGAACTGGCCTTGTGGCCTTTTGCCTGTGCTCAGAATGCGTGGTGACGTCGTGATCCACCCTGAGCTTGACCTTGCCTTATTCTCTTTCTTGTCCCTCACTTTGCCTATGGTGGTGTGTGAGAACTATACTCTAGGCTGTAGTGGGGCACTCCTTATGGGGTATAGCCCTGTTAGGTGTTGCCTATACAAACCTTGTAGTGTTCTCATCCTAGTCATTCCTAGTTCTATCTTTCACAACGTGAGTTGCATTGTCTATTTATTGCGTTTTGTACACGGTGTGTGAACATGTTTTTTCTTTCTTGTGCAGGGTATGTGTCTTGCATGCTTTGATTTTGCTTTGTGCAAGGCGCGTGAGCTGCATTCTTTAATTGATTGGCGGAGAAGGAAGATGAGGAAGGCAGTGGGAGGGAGGGAGGGAGGGAAAGAGGGAGGGAGGGAGGGAGGGAGGGAGGGAGGGAGGGAGGGAGGGAGGGAGGGAGGGAGGGAGGGAGGGTTGTAGGGAGGGTAGGGGATGATTGGCCAGCGATGATTTATGAATAGCTGAATTTCATGATGGTTGCGTGTTTATTCTCTGCAGGTATCTGTGCTTGTTTGCGTGTGTGTCACTGTGTGCGTTTGTGTCAGTGTGTGCGTTTGTGTCAGTGTGTGCGTTTGTGTCAGTGTGTGCGTTTGTGCCAGTGTGTACGTTTGTGTCAGTGTGTGCGTTTGTGTCAGTGTGTGCGTTTGTGTCAGTGCGTACGTGTGCGTGTGAGCGCGTGTGTGAGATGCACAGTTTGTGTCTGTCTCAAGGCGTGTGCTGAAGTGCCTCGTGTATGCAACTCAGGTTGTGATCGCCGGTGGGGCAATCGCCTTAGCGTGCCAGACCAACCTCTGTTGCATCATCGATGCATTTTAGCATTCTCCCCAAGACGCTTCAATTGTTATGTGTTGTCGTTTTTGTTACCGTATGCGTTTGTTCATGTTTGTTGTAAGGTGTGATGTTAAAGTGTGCCGGGCCTGCAATTGAGGTGGGGATCGTTGTTGGGGCAGCGTTGCTCGCCTTAGCATGCCGGATCCATCGCTATTGTAGTCCCGATGCATTTTAGCATTCACTTTATGACAGTCACAGTTATGTGTTGTCCCTTTTGTAGTACATGTTCAATGGATGCAAATTCCGTAATCTACATCTACTGTGTTTTGTCTCGTCAATTGTTCTTTATGTAGGTAAAGACACGATGGCCAATTCTTCCAGTCGCCGTATTTATCGACGATTATGGAATGATTGGTTACATTTAATTTCACCCTTTTTGGAGACTCATATGTATCAGTGCTGTCATCTCCACATGCTTGCTGCACCGGTTGAGTGCTTCGGGCGTGGGAAAAAAGACAAAAACTGCACTGTTCATTCGAGTTGACCGAAAAAAGTGCTACACCTAGCCCGCGCCATTTTCAATCCCCCCAATTGCAAAAGGTTTGTCGCCACCTCTGGGGGGTGGGGGGCAAAACTGAACAGTAACATGGCAGATTTGTGGTCTATGTGCACTGACGCGTCAGCAGCATTCCGATTTCTTTGGAGAGACAGTATCAGAACTGGACGCGAAAATGATGTGTAGGTTCGGGTCATGAATCTGCCACACACGTGGAGGGCAAATCCGCCCAGTCAGCACTCACAGCTAGGTGCTGACTCACTGCACAAATATCCCACGGGCAAGTGGCAAAATCGCGGCTCGGTACCGTTTTTTTGAGATTAGCGCGGGCTAGGAGTACCAAATGTAAAGGGGTTGCTACGCAACCCAAAGAGAGGACCTTCACTATGGAGGGAGGGATACAAATAGGGGAAATATGAGAATGGTAACACTTACAAAGCAATTTCACGCGTTTGGTAACTCACGTCCAACGCACTGGACGTCCAACCCACTGATGTCCAACCTACTGACGTCCAGTTCAGCTGCTTCACACGGCAAGGCAGTGCCTTGTAACGTACGTCGCGATCCAGTCCACCTCAGCGGTCATTACAGTCCGCATTGGCTGCCTTTCGCCCCGCACCCGCGCGAAACGTCTCTGTCTGACCGCGCGCGCGTCGGTCCCATGGTGCGACCCTGCCTAGCCTCGTCCCCTTTTTTCCGCGCGCACCCCGCCGCTTTGCGCGAATCTATTACCACGGCGTTACGCAGAACTAGTCATACGGATTTGGCTAAAAAAACTATAAAGACGGCGGCGTTACCTGGTTGTATCACGACGCGCTTCGTGTCTTCAATCTCTTCCGCCCCCGCATCGTCTTCCATTCGCGCGTTTCGTCCCATCACCGCTCCTGGATCGCCGCCCTCTTTACAGCATCAAGCATCTGGATCGCTTTCTAGCATCAAGCTCGCGACTTTCCGCGGCCTTTCCTCTGTTTTCGTCTTCGTGTCACTCCTCCCGCCTCTTCGTTCGTCTCCGCTGACCGAGTTTTCTTCCAAGGTGACACCTTGGGAGTGCCGATCCACTTGCCTTCCCTCCAAAGCCGTGCCTTGGGAGTGCCGAACCTCCAGCCTTGCCCCGAAGAACCCCGTAACACGCTTCTGCACCGTCCGATCTCGATCTACTCCCGCTAAAAGCGGAATGGCGGACCCAGCTGCCCCATCGGACGCGGAAGTTCCGCCGCACGGCGCGGCGGCGGGCGGTTCCCGCCCCGCGGAGAATTCCGCTACGGAAGAAGCGGAGCGTCCGGCGGAAGGAGGGGGATTGGCGGAGGGCGCGCGAATCGCGGCGGAAGTCGCGGCGAAGAAGGCGAAGCGCGACGCTTCGTCCTCGTCGTCTGCTGAACCCGACTCCATCCGAGGCGAATCCTCCGCTGCTGCTGCTGCTGCCGCTGCTGATCCCTCCGCCGCTGCTCCCGCTGCAGCCGAGGAGTCCCAGGAAGCTTCCGCTGCTGCTCCCCCTACCGCGCCCTCTCCCGCCGCTCCCCCTGCGCGCCCGACGGTGTACAAGCTGCGCCAGGAGCACAGCGAGTTGTTCACGGAAGCTTCCGCGTACTTGCTGGGAGAGGAGGGATGCGTGCTGGTGCTGCAGCGAGGCGACCTCACCAAGTGGTCTGTGGACGGGCGCACCGACGCTATAGTGAGTCCTCTTATAACGAGTGCTCTTGTAACGAGTTTTTCTGTAGTGTTGCGTGCAGAAGAGCGTCCTGGGCTGCATGCAGATGCTCCGTTGGAGATACCTCGTTGTTCCCATCAGCATGCCGCACTCACAACCAACCAGACCAAGCCACACACCATAAGGCACTTCAACTCTTTTTGTGTGCGTGCATGAGCGTGGGGTGTGTGCGCGTGCGCGTGCGTGTGCATGCGTGCGGTGTTGTGCGTGTGTATGTGTGCGCGTGCGTGCGCGAGTGTGTGTGTGTGTGTGTGTGTGTGTGTGTGTGTGTGTGTGTGCATGTGTGCTGTACGTATGTGCTTGTAATTTTTGTTGGTGCGTGTATATGTGCATGTGTCTGGTTGTGTGTGCATGCATGTGCAAATGTGCGCCACTCACAGGTGAATGCAGCCAATGAGAGAATGCTGGGAGGAGGTGGAGTGGACGGAGGTAAGCCGCTTCTTCCCCCCTCATCCTTCCTTCCACAATTCTTGTGCTTTTCTCTCTCTTCTCACTACCATCGTCAAGCAAATAGCAAGCAAATAATCAGCAATTACATCAAATGATAAACAACTACCTTATTCTCTTACCCGTTTCTTGCCATGCCATCCGTTTTTGTCCACTCGACAAGCCTCCCTCCCTCTGCTCAACAAGCCTCCCTCCCTCTGCTCAATCCTTCCCCTCCCTCTGCTCAATCCTTCCCCTATGCACTGCTGCTTGGGGAACATATCTGAGGATCATTCAACAGGCCTCCCTTTTTTGCAAACTGAGGGGTGAGCTATCTTCTGCATCCCCTCTTCCCCCTCCTCCTTCCCTCTCCCATCTTTTCCCTTCGCTCCGCTCCTCCCATCTCCCCCTCTCCGCCCCCCCTCCAGCCTTCCGCTCCAGTGAGAGAGTGCAGCTCCAGTGAGAGAGTGCAGCTCCAGTGAGGGGGTGCAAGGCGGTGCAGCAAGCAAGCAGACCACTGCAAGATAGATGGTGAATAATCCGTTCTCCTCTTCCCACTCTCTCCTCTCCCCACGCTTTCCCTCCTCTGTCCTCTCCCCAGCCATCCACAGGGCAGCAGGGCCGGCACTGGTGAGGGAGTGCAAGGCGGTTCCGGAAGTGAGCAAATGATGCCACTGGCTTATCCATTCTTATTCCCACTCTCTCCCCGCCCCCCCCCCCCCGTTTCCTCCTCTGTCCCCTCCCCAGCCATCCACAGGGCAGGGCCGGGCCTGGTGAGGGAGTGCAAGGCGGTGCAGAGGGTTGCTTGAAGCAGTGGCGATTTCCTTCCATGCTCCCATCTCCCATCTCTCCTCTCTCCCCTCTCCTTTCTCCCCTCTCCTCTCCTTCCTCTCCTCCCCAGCCATCCATAGGGCAGCAGGGCCGGGCCTGGTGAGGGAGTGCAAGGCGGTTCCGGAAGTGAGCAGAGGGGTGCGCTGCCCCACAGGGCAGGCTGTGTGCACTGGGTGAGTGTGACTGTACGGGGTGTGATTGTGGGGACATGACAGTGTGAGTGGGCGGTTGTGAGTGGGTGGGTGCGAGTGGGCAGCGAGGTTCTCAGACGCCCCACATGGCAGGACAGGCTGTGCGTAAGGGTTGAGTGTGACTGTACGAGTGAGCGTGACTGTACGAGTGAGCGTGACTGTACGGATGAGCGTGACTGTACGGGTGAGCGTGACTGTACGGGTGAGCGTGACTGTACGGGTGAGCGTGACTGTACGGATGAGCGTGACTGTACGGATGAGCGTGACTGTACGGATGAGCGTGACTGTACGGGTGAGCGTGACTGTACGGGTGAGCGTGACTGTACGGGTGAGCGTGACTGTACGGGTGAGCGTGACTGTACGGGTGAGCGTGACTGTACGGGATACGGGTGAAGCTTTTCATTCCCACGGCGGGGCCCATCCGTCTCTCCCCCCCGCCCTCCTCTCCTCCCTCTCCCCTTCCTCCCATGTCCGCTTCCGATTCCCCTCCACAAGAGCGGCGAACTGCAAGTGTGGTAAGTCATTCACGCAGTGGGGCCTATCGAGTTGACTTTTAAATCAACTCAAAAGTCCCCTCCACAAGAGCGGAGAACTGCGAGTGAGGAATGTCATTCACGCAGTGGGGCCTATCTCGGACCCTCTGTCCCTCCCCCCTCTCCCATTGCTCCCGTCTCCCTTCCCCCTGTCACCTCCACCAGCGCGGCCGAGCTGCCAGTGAAGCATGTGATTCACACGGTGGGGCCCATCTACACGTCAGCACGCTCTGCACCGCTGCTGCACTCCGCCTACGTGTGAGTCAACGCTGGTCAACGCTGGTCAATGTGACTCTGGCCAAAACGATGGCAACTCGTCGAATTTCAGTCAACTACACCACTGCCTTCCATGATATCCCATCCTCCACGTCACCCCATCCTCAATCTAACGTCACCCCATCCTCCATTCCACGTCACCCCATCCTCCATTTCACGTCACCCCATCCTCCATTCCACGTCACCCCATCCTCCATTCCACGTCACCCCATCCTCCATTCCACGTCACCCCATCCTGCATTCCACGTCACCCCATCCTGCATTCCACGTCACCCCATCCTGCATTCCACGTCACCCCATCCTCCATTCCACGTCACCCCATCCAGTCACCCCATCCTGCATTCCACGTCACCCCATCCTGCATTCCACGTCACCCCATCCTGCATTCCACGTCACCCCATCCTGCATTCCACGTCACCCCATCCTGCATTCCACGTCACCCCATCCTGCATTCCACGTCACCCCATCCTGCATTCCACGTCACCCCATCCTGCATTCCACGTCACCCCATCCTGCATTCCACGTCACCCCATCCTGCATTCCACGTCACCCCATCCTGCATTCCACGTCACCCCATCCTGCATTCCACGTCACCCCCCCCCCTTTTCCCAGCCGCTCCATGGAGGAGGCCCGCAAGGTGGATGTCAAGTTTATCGCCTTCCCGGCAGTTTCGTGTGGCATCTATGGGTGAGTCAGCATCATATGCGGGCGAGTCAGCATCATGGTTGAGTGAGTGAGTCGTCATCATCTATGGGTGAGTCAGCACCATGAGTGAGTGAGTCAGCACCATGTGAGTCAGCAGCATGTGTGAGTGAGTCAGCACCATGTGTTAGTGAGTTGTGAGTCAAACCCTAAACCCAGCAGCATACTGTGTGTGTTTGCGAGTCATCATCATCTCTCGGTGAGTCAGCACAATTTCGAAGTGACTCGGCATCGTCTTTGTATGAGTCAGCGATAGCTGTTTTTGTTGTTCACTTCGGCGCCATTACCTTTGGTTTGTCTCCAACCTTTCATCTCCAACCCTCCGCCTCCAACCTTTCATCTCCAAGTCTCCACCTCCAACCCTTCATCTTTAACCCTCTGTCTTCCGCACCTCCTGCAGCCGCCCATGCGATTGTCTGTGTGATGTTTTTGTTTCTTCCAGTAAATACAGCGAACAGGCGTTTTTCAAGGCTGGGCGTGTCCTCTTTGTGTCCTGTCAATCTCTTTTGCAAATCCGCTGATGTGCTGTGTACTGTGCGCTGTGCCCCCGGGTGCCTTGTATGCTGCATGCCTCTGCAGCTACCCTTTCCCTGATGCTGCTCAGGTGTCACTCAAGGCCCTTCAAGCAACCTGTGCTGGCTTCTCAGAGGTCAGTTCGCCTCCCGCTCGTGCCTCTCACCTTGCCTCTCACCGTGCCTCTCACCGTGCCTCTCACCGTGCCTCTCACCGTGCCTCTCACCGTGCCTCTCACCGTGCCTCTCACCTTGCTTCTCACCATGTCTTTGATTTTTCATGGAATGTTTGTGGGCAGATGTGTTGTGTGTGTGTGTGCATCTTTGTGTGTGTGCGTGTGTGTGTGTGTATGTGTGTGTGTGTGTGTGTGTGTGTGTGTGCATGGGTGGTATATATGTGGATGTGTGTGTGTGCATGTGCGTGTGAATGTGTGTGCATGTGCATGTGCATGTGTGTGCATGTTTGTGTGTGTGTGTGTGTGTGTGTGTGTGTGTGTGTATGTGCATGTGTGTAAATGTGCATGTGCATGTGCGTATATATGTGCATGTGTCCATGCAAGCAGGTGCATGTCATTCTCTACACCGAGGTTGCCATGGATGCAAACGAAGGCCACCCCCCCTCATTGTTGTGTCTGTGTGTGTGTGTGTGTGTGTGTGTGTGTATGTGTGTGCATGCCCGTGTGCATGTGCATGTGTGCAGGTGCATTTCATTCTATTCAACGAGGAAGGCATGGATGCATATGAAGGAGCAGCAGAGGATCTGCAGCTGCCGCCCCTTGAGATCGAAACAGACGGCTGAGCTGAGCCAGCTGCGCCACACAAGCTAGGACATGTGTGGGACCCATGTGTGTGTCAGCACTTGGCTGGCTCATTTTGGAGGTTCCTCTTACAAGTTCATTGCAGTTTGTTATCAGTGAAGGTGTTTTGCAGTTTGTTATCAGTGAAGGTGTTACGCTCATGCAATTGCCATGATTAAGCTGTTGCTGCAGGCTTTGGTTGGGAGGTTGAAGTGGATACTTCAATGCCCACTTGGAAAAAATAATTACGTAGCTCGAAGGCTCGCAGACAAATCTGTATTGATATGTGTGTCTTCAGGTACACCCCGTCTACAGCACTACAGCATTCTGCAAACAAGCAGTATGCTCGCTTGACTGACTCATTTGCAGTGCAGTCAGCCATGCCTGCTGCAGCAGTGCGATCGCACCAAGGACCTCCCCTCCCCACATCCCTGACTTGCGGTGTGACTTTTGAGTAGACTCCCAAGTCGCCTGGACTGATACACTTGCAGTGCATTCGATCGATCGCGCCTGCTGCAGCAGGGCAGTGCAATCAAACAAAGGACCTCCCCAGCTTGCGTTCAAAGAGACGGTGCAAGAGGTAGACCTGGAGGGATGGAGAAGATGGGTCCCAGGGGGGGGTGGTGGGCGGGGTGTGGAGGAGGGCGAGAATCCCGCAGTACCCTAAACTACCTTGCATCTCGCAAACATGGCCAATGCCTCTGTCCTTTTGCTCTGACGGTGGAACAGCAGTGCGCCGAGAGTGCGAAGGGGATATGGGGGGGAAAACGGTAGGACAGCATGCTGAAAGAACACTGCTGATGGTAGTGGAGAGATGGAAGGTGGGGGTGGATAGAATTATGGAGGCAAAACTCGAGCCGACAAAAATATCGGCTATGCTTCTCTCACGTGAAGTATGGATGGGCAGTGCTACAATGCAGAAGTTTAGGGAATTTTGAAAAGAGAGGAAGGGGTAGATGGGCAGTGGTACTGTATAGCAGGGTGATTACCATAAATTAGACTCCAAAAGCTGTAACATCACTTGACCTGACAAGCACTGTAGCATCATGACCAGCACTGTAGCATCACCCGACCAACACTGTAGCATCACCCGACGAAACACTGTAGCATCACCCGACCAACACTGTAGCATCACCCGACCAGCACTGTAGCATCACCTGACCAGCACTGTAGCATCACCTGACCAGCACTGTAGCATCACCTGACCAGCACTGTAGCATCACCTGGATTGAGCTGCATAGAATGAGAGCGCCTGATTGGACGGCCGTCTTGAAAATGAGCCTCGCTGTGGTGGTCTTGGCCACTGGGCATGCAAACCAGCGGGAGGAGATAGCATGGCAGGGCGGATGGGGGCAGGGCAGGGGAATGGGGAGGAGGGTAGGGAGAGATGAAGGGCGCCAATGGTGTGGGAAGATCCGCCTTGCTGTGGTGGTCTTGGCCACTGGGCATGGAAACAGGGCGAGAGGTAAAGGGGGAGGTGGGGGCAAGGTGGGCTGCATGAGGAGGGAGGGCGTCTTTAAAGAGCCTTGGTGGTGGTCTTGGCCACTGGGCATGGAGACCAGTGGAGGGAGATGGCATGGCAGGGGGGATGCAGGCAGGGCAGGGGAAAGAGGAGGGTAGGTAGAGATGAAGGGAGACCAGAGGTGTGGGATACGCCTTGCTGTTGTGGTCTTGGCCACTGGAAATCGGGGAATGTGGTGGACAGGAGCAAGAGAGGACAGGGGGAAGGTGTGGGAAAGGTGGGGGGCGTCTTGAAAATAAGCTTCACTGTGGTGGTCTTGGGTAGTGCAGATGGGTGAAGGGCGGAGCGCTGAAGGGATGGGGGGAAGGGGATGAGGGAAAGGGGAGGGAGCAAGGGATGGAGGGAAGGGGAGAGCGCAAAAAGGGGATGGGGGGAAGGGGAGGGCGCAAGGAGGGGATGTGAGGAAGGGGAGGGCGTGGAGGGGTTGGGGGGAAGGGGAGGGCGCATGGAGAGGAAGGGGGGAAAGGGAGGAGGAGAGGAGAAGATCTGAAAGACAAGCCTTGCCTTGATGTGGTGGCCACGCTGGGAATGGAGAAGGAGACATGGAAGGAAGAGCAGGGTGCTGGGTGCGAGGCGAGGAGGGAGGGAGGTGGGGGAAAGGTGCGGCGAGTGAAGGGGAAGACGTGGGAATGAATACAAGCCTCCATGGGAACAGAACCTTTCATGCGAGTGGCCTGGATGGCAAGCAGAGGATGCGGAGGACTTGGGAGGGAGGCGCAGGGCAAGGGACGTGGAGGGCAAGGGACGTGGAGGGAGAGGTGGGGTGGGTGGTTGGGGTTGCAGGGGGAGGGAGAAGAAATGAAGAAGGGAAGGGGAGTACGGACTTGTGGGGAGAAGGAGACATGGAAGGAAAAGGATAAGAGAGCGAGGGGAGTACGATGGTGATGCATGCGAGTGCACTGACATAAAAAATCGCAAATTTCATGCGATATTGCATGTTGCTTTATCATTCAACCTCTATCTCCTCTCCCCTCTCCTCCCTCACTCTCACTCGTTGAGCCTCTGGGCCTGCGAGTGGCGGAACTTGGCATGCATGGACAGCACCATCACCCGCTCGTACAGGTTCCCTCCTCGTCTCCCCCCTCACATTCCTTCACCCCTCTCCTCACTTCCCTCAGGCATAATGTTTCACCCTCTCACCTCGCCTCTTTCACTCACACTCGTTGAGCCTCTGGGCCTGCGAGTGGCGGAACTTGGCATGCATGGACAGCACCATCACCCGCTCGTACAGGTTCTTCGCCTTGTCCCTCGTCTGCTCCACGTGCTCTGAGGGGTGAGCGGAGAAGAAATGGGGGGGAGGGGGGAGATGAGGAAAGTGGAGGGGGGATGGATGGAGGGGTGCAATTAGAAAAAGGAAAGGGGACAGCACAGCACCATCACCCGTTTCTTTCCTACAGCTTTCTTGCCTTGTCCCTTTGATTCGCGCTCTGAGGGATGACAAGGGAGAGGCGGGCGGGCGGATACGAGGAAGGCAGAGTCACGGGACAGGGGAGCATGGAAGGAACAACGGAGGGAGGGAGAAAGGAAGAAGGGTCAACACGGTGTAGCGCCGCACAGCACCGCACAGCACACCACAGAACATCACCGCACGACACACCTTCCTTGGCGAGTTCCTTCTTGCTGAAGTGGTGCCCCACGTGCAGCTCAAACACAATCTCCTCGTTGATGGGCGACTTGTTCGTGAAGCACACCTCGTAGTCGCCCTCACACAGCACCACATGCACAGAACCGCACAGCACCGCACAGTACTCCACAGCACCAGACAGTTCCGCACTCCACCGCACAGCACCACACAACACACCTTCCTTGGCGAGCTCCTTCTCGCTGAAGTGATGCCCCACGTGCAGCTCAAACACAATCTCCTCGTTGATGGGCGACTTGTTCGTGAAGCACACCTTGTAGTCGCCCTCCCGCATCGACTCAAATGAAAACACGCCCTCCGTCTGACCCTGCGCCGAGTGCACGTGGTACCCGTCAGGATCCTCCACCTGTGCGGTTGAGACGTTGGGCGAAGATAGGAAAGGGGGGGAGCGGGGCGAAGGGAAAAGGGACTACTGAGTGAGATTGCATCGACTCAACGGAATCGCATCAACTCAAACTCGGATACTCCCTCCGTCTGCCCCTGTGACGAGTGCACGTGGTGCCCGTCAGGGAGTATGCGAGTCGAGTGCACCTATCGGGGTCCTCCGCCTGTTTGGCGGCCGAGGGGAGGAAGGAACGGCAGAGGGAATAGGGTTGAAGAGAACGATAGTCGACCTTTAAGGGAAGAGGGGTTGAAGGGAAAGAGAGGGAATGTAGGATGTGTTGGATTCGGAAATTGCCCTTTGGGACTTTTGAAGCCTCAAGACTCGCAGAGGCTCGAGCGCAGAAGTTTCCTTCCGGATATTATCTTGTGTCCTGCATGCACGGTCGAGACTGGAGGTTGAGGAAGGGGGGACGACAGGGGGAGCAGGGATGAGGATGGGCGAAGGGATATTGCATGTGAAACGCTGCGCGGGAAACGAGAGGAAAGGTTGAACATTTTTCGTCTCTTTATGTCTTTTTTCTTGTTGAATGGGAAAACAATGGCGTGTCTATGTGTTTCTAGCGAAGGAGCCCGCTTGACTGCCTGACCAATGTACAGCAGAATGGGTGGCTGGTAGATGGGCCGCGAAATGTGTCAATGTGATTGAAACGGGAGTGCGGGAGGGTTATTGTGCTGTGCTTACAACGATGTCGACGCCCAGCGACTCCCATTCGCCCCACGTTTGCGAACTGACGACGACGAAGTTACCATGCACTTCGTCGCCGACGTAATGCACGTAGTAGGTCAGACACTCGAATTGATCTAGCGTGAACCGAACCGCAGAACCTCCGCGAAATGCGGCGAGGAGAAGAGCCAATAGGACAAGGAGATAACAACGCGAAGCAGTAAGTCGACCCACCATTGTCCGTCTGACGGATCGCGAATTACCAGAATTTAACGATTTGGGTTCGAAACTGCCAATACTACGCAATCTTGATCCCTAAAGAATGCTCCTGCCGGATAGAAGGATGTGAATAAGGTGGGAGAACGAGCCTTGGGATTTGACGACTGCCGCGGAATAGGGCTGCTGGTGGTTGGTGTGACGATCAAGCGTATGCGCGATATGAGGTGAAATCTGGATATCTCTCTGGAAATTCTCATGGAGTATACAGAAGCTATGAATAAAAGAATGCATGATATATGCCTTTCCTTTACAGGTTTTCTCCTAGGTTCACCTAGAAAGCCTAAGAAAAAAACATCTTCACAACAAGTATTCAAATTGTTCAGTTACTTATACCATTCCTGTTTTTTTATAGCTACAAACTTGATCATGTTCAATGTGCGCCTTGTTTCTGAAACTGTATAGCTACAAACTGTAAGGAATTTTCTCGATATTCCTTAGCGCGCCCTGTGTTGGGCTGAGTAGAAGCCCTTAGGATCTTTGCAGGACTAAATTCCTGGTAGGACTGATGTAA